GCCGAGGCCCCCGGAGCCGGGGACGTCTCGGTTCCCCCACCCCCTCCTCTCCCAGCGCCTGCAGAACCTGCAGCTGCGCTGTCATCTCACGACTCCCACCCGCCAGCCCTTGGGGGGCGGGCCGCACCCCTCGCAGGACCCGAGGAAGAGAGGGCTCTCGCCTGGGTTCTGCGTAACAGGTTCCTCAGGGACCTGCCCCGGGTCTCCCAGGCTCTAGCCGAGGCTGGAGACGGCGAAGACCTGCCCCCGCCAACGGTGATGCCAACAGGTATCTACATTTTCCTCCGCCTTTTCCCTCCCCGAGACCAAAGCTCCCCCCGCTCCCCAATGTGGCCGAAATCTCAAAGTTTCCTTATCGTGGGCCCTTCCCCGTAGGCACAGAGCCGGTGGCGAGCGAAGGACCAGCCCTCTGCCTCCGCGAGCGGAGAGAGCAGCTGTTTGCTTGGGTTGCTCAATGTAAGAAATCAAACAACATTAATTGTTGATTGTTGCAAACGCACAACATTAGTCTGTAATGGAACCCCGGGCTGGCAGCTGCTCACTTCGGCTCCAATGAAAGGCTGGATCTTAGCATGGAGCGAGCCGGAGGGAGACAGGGTCCTTTCAACTTTCCCACCCTTTTCCTGAAGATTCCACAAGAGTTTCCTCTTTAAGAGGCAGGAGAGGAGCCCTCACTCCTTTAGCGCTAGAGCTGCTAATGAGCTCAGCCGGCTGGGCTGCCTTCTTAGCCGGCTCCCCAGGACTTGTGGGCTGGCCGTGGGAAGGAGGGGACACCCGCCAAGGAGGTAGGCAAGGGCACTGCCCTGGGGCTCCGGGTACTGTCGCCGAGCCCAGAGGAGGGACTGGGGTTGATCGGGGCCCTGGGGAAGCGCCGGTCCCCTTTACAACACTCCTGACGGCAGTCTCCATGGTTAGCAGCCCCCCCTGGGCGCTCACCTCCAGCTTCATTATAGGAGCCTTCCAACTGGAAAAGTAGACGTGGGAAAGAGATATTTATGTCGGATTGGAGATCGGGATTTTCCATCCTTTCACCCTCGCCTCGCGGCTGTACCTCACTGCATGCAAAATGAGCCCCATCTTTCACGCCAGACACAACTGAGATCCCTGCCTGGCTGCTGCCTTTGCCTTCACCAGCTGTGTCCACTTTTGCAGGGGGTTCATCTGGAGTGTGTCTGCGTGTCTGCGTGTGCGTGTGTGTGGCAGAGAGAGAGAGAGAGAGAGAGAGAGAGAGGAGTTTCTCTGCTGAGAGACCTGGTACCATTGAAGAATGTTCTCTGAGGGTTACATTTTCTTTTCCACTCCAAGGGAGTTCTCCGTAATTATCATGTCCAGACATGTTTTTCCACTTCCCCGAGCTCTGTGGCTGAAAGAAATTGGAGAGCTAGCCCTCTTATTAAATAATACTATGAATCCTAATATTTTGTAAATCGGCTTCCGCTAATGAGAAGCGCCCCGTCACATAGCCATTCCATGCTGGAGCAGTTGCGGGATTTTAAATCACCTTTGAGATGTTATTTTCTGGGCCCTGAAAAGGGCTCAGAGTTGAGAAAAAAAATCTGTTGTGAAAACAGAGAAGAGGCTGCCGGCAACTCTGGGGCTCCCTCCCTGCAGGGCTGTCCATCTTCCTTACTCTGTCCCCCACGTGCCCAAAGGAGTGGCAGGGCATCCCCTGACCATCACACATGGGCTAGATGTTTGGGGGACACGGACTCATGTTTTCCGAAATTTGTGCAGTGAAGCCGTCATTCCAACTTTTCAATCTCTTTTCCCCCTGCAATTAGTGTTACCATTACAATGAAGTGCTTTGGTTTCATTCCATTCTCAATCTACAATCTCCTAAAACTCTCAAGATTCCAGATAGGTACCCCACTCCACTCAAGACACTAGCATTTGGGGGGCTACCGTTTGGGTGCCCGGCATGGATTTCGGGAGCTCTGGAGGGTCTTAGAAATTTAGCTGCAGCACAGTTTGGCAGCAGCCCTCACTGGAAGAGCAGCTCCGGGTGCCTGCTCCGCACACATCAGCTCTAAAGGGAAGGGAGTCTTTACCCTGGAAAATAACTCTATCGGAGTATCATGCAGAACTCTGGTCAAGGCAGCAGTTGTCCAAAGCCACCCCTGAATTTAGCAATGAGCACACTTTAAGTAGCCAACGGTGGTATGCTGGATGTAAAAAACATTCCCTAAAACACGCTCAGCAGAAAGGAATAGGCCACTTGAGAAAGTATTTTGAAAGGCTGTTATATGCATGCACTCCTGACGCAACATTTCCTTGTAAAGTATTTAAGGTCTGGTGCTCCTGGTTCCCAGAGAGCACCCGATTGTTGGAGCCAAAACTAGGAAACTCCACAGAATGAGGGTATAATGATTCTGTTCAAGAAATTGCGCCTCTGGGCTTTGCTTCTAGGTTCCTTCCACTGGTTATTGGCGAGGGAAAAGGAACAAGCCCAGATAGGAAAGTTTAGACTCCATACCTCAGCTGTTCAGAAAAACATGTTGTCAGTACTTCAACGCGCTAAAGAAAAATAAGCATCTTTATTTTTCTACTCAAGGTGGCACTCCTTATAGCTTCCTCGACATTCCAGTGGAGCAAATTGTCCACGCAAAACCAGAAGCTTCTCAGGGGTAGAATGACATTCCATGTATATTTTCAACAACACTTTTCCGGCCCATCAGCAGAGGTTTGTGTTTGACAAACTCAGGAGCAAGCAGAAGCAGAGCAGCCTTTTAATTAGCAAGGCACTAGAAGGTCCCAGGACTCCCGCGGAAATCCCGTGCCAGTGCTGCTGCTCGCTTCAGTCATTTGATATTTCTCACACCGCTATGCAGAGAGGCAGGAAAAATGCAGTTTTCTCTTTGTTTTCGGCACTGTGGGCATTCACGGCTGAAATGGATTAACTTGGCTTTTTAGTTTGGGAAGCGGCTCTGAACTTTGGTGTATTATACACCTGCTACGGAGCATAGAATGAAGTCACAGCTGATTCTTGTGTGAGCGTGCGCGCGCGCGCACACACACACACACACACACACAC